GCTCAATCTCCTTGGTCACTTCCTCCTTGTCTCGGAGGTCCTTCATGCCCAGGGCCACGCCGCCGACCTGGTTCTTGCAGACCATGGCGACGTGGTTGGGCTGGCCGCAGCGGTAGCAGCGGTACTTCCTCTTGATGACCCAACATTGGTGTCGGTCTCCGACCATGGCCCCGCAGTGCTCGCACATCCGCGTGCCTGCCGTCGCTCGGTCCGGGCCTGGCGCGGTCGCCTGCGCCTCCGCGGCGGTGACTGCCGCGCGCCCCTTGGTCGGCACCCGCTCGGCCGGGCCGGCCCCGCCGTCCGGCGGCGCCGGGCCCGGTGGTTGGGTGTTCCTCGTCGCCCGGACGGCGCGCTCCTGCACCCATAGGCGCCGCTCTACATCGAGCATCCGCGCCCACATCTCCATTGGGGGTGGATCGGCCCGTGCCCCTCCACGAACCAGCGCGAGCCTCTCACCGCGCGGAGCAGGTCGTCGATTCGCGGAATGGGGCCCGCACCGTGACGGCGTTGAGGGGGCGGTAGTCAATGCAGAACCGCCTCTCGCCCGTCTTCTTCTTGACGAGGACGATCCCGGAGGCGTACGGGCTCCGGCTCGGGCGGATCACCCCCTTCTCCAACATGGCGGTGACCTCCGCCTCGATGATAGCCTTCTGGGCGTCATTGTACCGCCGCCCGCGACACGCGACCGGCCTCGGGTCGGTCACCTCGATGCCGTGTTCCACCACAGTGGTCCGGCCCAAGTCCTCCCCGCACCACACCTCCTCGTGCTCCAGGAGCAGTGCCTCCAGCCGGCGCCGCCCTCCGGTCCCGTCCCCGACGTTCCCGAGGGCCTCCTTCAGCGCCTCACTTCCTCTTGCGGTGGCGGCCCCTCCGCCGGGGGATTTGCCGGCCCGCTGGGTCAGCCGCAGCGGCTGACCGTCTAACTGGAGCCGCCCCCCGCTGACATCGAGCTCCGCTCGATGCTCCCGGAGGTACGGCATCCCTAAGGTGATACCGCCGATGCCCGGCAGGACCAGTCCGACTACCTCGTGCTCCCGCCCGTCCGCCAACCTCATCATCACCCTCCCCCACGTCCCGCACGGCGCACTCCGTCCGTCGGCCATGGTGAGTCTTGTGGGTGACCCGGGGACCTCCTGCGGGCCTAACTGCTGGCCGAGCAGGTTCACCTCCGCCCCAGTATCGATGAGCGCGAGCGTCTCCAGCTGCTTGCAGGTCGCTGGCAGGAAGTACGAGGCCGAGACGGTCCCTAGGGTCGTGCTCCGGGCACCGGCTCTCCCTGAAAAGGGTGCTCCTCGCCGGTGCGGTCGCCGCCCGCGGGGCGGGCGGGGCCGCCTCCAGCTGGCACGGCGCCCAGCAACCGGTCCCTGAGTCTCCGTAGCCGCTCAATCTCCTTGGTCACTTCCTCCTTGTCTCGGAGGTCCTTCATGCCCAAGGCCACGCCGCCGACCTGGTTCTTGCAGACCATGGCGACGTGGTTGGGCTGGCCGCAGCGGTAGCAGCGGTACTTCCTCTTGATGACCCAACATTGGTGTCGGTCTCCGACCATGGCCCCGCAGTGCTCGCACATCCGCGTGCCTGCCATCGCTCGGTCCGGGCCTGGCGCGGTCGCCTGCGCCTCCGCGGCGGTGACTGCC